AAAGAAAGAAAGAAAAAAGTGAACTCCAATGTAAACGTGGTATTTGGCTATATCAAAATCCTCTTTTCAATCCATGTGCTGCTCGTTGAATAATCTATGGTTTCTTTCTGACCATGAGTTACAAGTAATTGCTTCACAGCATTATTCCCCAGAATCTTAGCCCAAATCATCTAATGCCCATGAGCCATTAGGCGTGAGCATCCATAGCTATGGACAGAGAATCTCAACACGAACAGTGGAAACAGTAGATTTTCACATACTCATTGATGTATTCTGTATCTTCATTATTGTGTTCTGTTTTCTATAACACAGTTTTGATTAATTTGTTTCGCATCTTATAGGAAAAAACATATAATTTTCCTCATGGGAAAGAATTTCATAAGTTCTCTGTTTCTACCTTCTAGTTTTTTTTTTATGATTAAGGCATTTTGTATTTTTGTCATCTAAAAAATGTCTTATATTTCAGCCTTGTGTAGTATTTGAGTCTTTTATAAATTTATTCATTTTCCACTAACATGCACATTTTGAACAGCCTAATGTATGGGGCTGAGGATCCTTCAATTGCAGGAATGGTTCTCGACAGCCCTTTCTCTGATCTGGTTGAGCTAATGATGGAACTCGTCGAAACCTATAAGTTTCGTTTACCTAAGTTCACGGTAAGAATCATTCACTTCACCTTTTTTTTATTTTAATCCGTGAGGGTCTCACTAAGTCGCACCTCTACTAATTTTACGGAAGAACTGCATGACTCTAAATATTTGGTAGGATTTTTTGATAAGAGACAAAAGATATATATATATTAACAAAACGGCTGTTGAAACGGCCCTCTAATGAGTATTAGGCCTCTATTGCTGCCACGATCCATTGAGATTCAGCCCTTCATCGCTCCAATTCGTATATATTAAAAAAAAGGCTATCTAATCATTAATGATCATGGAAAAAATAATAATTACAAAAGAATTTAGGTTGGTTAGAGCACTACCAAGATACAACGTGCTCCATACCATTACAAAAAGAAAGAGAATTATTATCTTCGAAGATCTTTGGTTTCACACTCTCCACAGGTGCCATAGAGGACCTGTAGCTGCACAACTCAGGGATGATTTTAATATCCTAGGTGGTTCCATGGGTTTTGAACCTATTTCCAAGTTTCTTTACCTAATTTCCATAGGCCAACCTAGGTGGTTAACAGAATTTAAACTCTGTCCATATTTTAACTGAAAATTTCTTCTCTTAGCAACATTCCAGTCTATTCCGTTTATCATGACCCATAACTGGAGTGGTCCAAACTAACATTTAAATCATCTCACTAGTCACAGCCGATGTTTTTGAATGTTTTTCCATAGTTCAAACCAAAGATGTGCATGTGATTGGTCTGGTTTGGTTTGGTCCATGTTCTTTTAAGTAGTGATTGATGTTCGGCAGTCTTAACTATTGCATTTTTGTGTTGTTCTACTTCTAGGTGAAGTTTGCTATTCAATACATGCGGAGAGCAATCCAGAAGAAGGCAAAATTTGACATAATGGACCTGAACACCATTAAGGTTTTATTTTATATATTATGTGCTAGACGTATCCATGAGCTCCTTTTATTAATTCTCTGTCGCATGCTAATTGGTCAAGCGAAGAATTGATGTGCATATTCTCTCTTTTCCTTCTGAAAATTACATACTAGACTGAATGCTACTGCTTTAAGAAGAATGTTATTCTTTAGGTGCTAATCACATGAGAAATTTTGTCCAAAAATTCTAGTTGACATATGTTCCATGCCCTTTCATTAGAAAAGTATTAATCATCTCCATTTGAGGATAATGGTTCTCCTGGATTTCGTAATTAAGTTTTTTGGCTTTGAATTGATTTGATACACAATAAAATTACAGTAAGTTCAGCCAGAAACTGGAAATGAAACGTTATGTTCTTCTCAAGCATTCTTTCTATTTTTAATGCTTACCGTTTCAAGTGAAACTGATCCAACATTGTTTTGTCTAGGTGGCAAAAGCTTGCTTTGTACCAGTGCTACTTGGGCACGCCATTGATGATGATTTTATACGACCTCATCACTCAGACCTTATATATGATGCTTATGTGGTAAATTCTTATAACCCAAATACTTGGTTTGAAGTGGGGCAATTACTGTGTACTATGCTCAAAGCAATTCGAACAACTCTACAAATGTCACAAACTATCTACTAGGTTCATTGAGATCCAAAAAACACGTGGTGCATATTATACCTATACCACCTTATCAAGCTTTCGTGGTACCACCCTTCCATCTAAAAAGTTAAGGATTCTGAACTTAGGAATCAATTTTCTTGGAAATTGTTTGGTTGTCGAGCATAGCACCATAATTCCATTCCCAAGATTCAAATAAATTTTCCTTTTGGTGTCTTCTTTTGCCGGATGTAGTTTGTTCTATAATGATTTTGAATCACAAGATAACCTTTTCTTTCATATATACTAATGCTAAAATATGAGACCATGTTCCAAATTTTCAACCTACAGCGGTGTTTTTTTTTTAACCACAACTTCTGTCTTCTGGCTTCCACATTATTCGATGAGCCTAAAGTTTTGTGGCTCAAAGTGGTGACTATTATTTTTTTAGAAAGAAACACACATTTTGACGTTTCTAGTTCGGTTGATTCTATTTTTTTCGAATAATTTTATATAATCTCTTTCTTCTAGAAATTCAAGCTAATTGAGGAGCTTTTATGGAACTTCTTTGGAAATCCTCCCCTTCCGTATTCATTTCTGGTCGTGGCCAATGAATTATTCTTATCCCTGAAGAAAGAAAAAAAAGTTATAATTCTGTATCGCCTTGAGATTTTGTTCTTAGTTAACATGTAAGCTCTTAGGTGCTTAATTATTAATTTGCCTAACATTTTACCATGCTAATATTCATCAAATTGCATCTCTTTCATAGGGGGATAAAAACATTATCAAGTTTGATGGTGATCACAATTCTCCACGCCCTCAATTTTACTTTGATTCTATAAATATCTTCTTCCACAATGTTTTGCAACCCCCGGAGGATGAAATAGGGGATATTTATATCAACAGCATGCCGTCCTACTTTAGTAACAAGGTAAATGCGCCGCAGTGCATCAGTTGTATTTCACTTTTTGATCTTCCAGATTTAATTATTTACTAGATGTTTTACCTTCAGGATTATTGGAGAGTGGTGCAAGAAGTGGGCCCTAATCATGGTTCTTCCACAACATCGAGAGGCACGAGTCAACAATTCACTCTTTTCTGCTTCTTTATTGTCGTCTCTTCTCATGATTTTATTGTCGAATCTTATTTTATTGATATATATATTTTTCTACTAACAGATATACCAACTAATAGTAGTAGTAGTACAGAAGGTGCCATTAAAGAACTCCGTTCAAAAAGATCTATGAGTCGGACAGAGGTAATGTTCTATGAAGATGAAAGAAACTTTTTGGTTAATTTGGAATTAAATAGAAGTGCAAGAATGACATTTTATGATTTACTCCCTTAAATCAGATTCCTCCCGATCTTCCCTCCGGAGATAATCAATTGGACGCTCAGGTATCAAAATAGCTTCTCATATGGCTTTTGTGTAGATCCCAAAGTAATCTCACTAATAGGTTGAAGGTTTCAAATTCCCACCCATTGTTTGAATCATAAAATTCTAGAAGGAAAAAAAGAACATGTTTGGGATACTGTTGATTAACAATGAGAGTCGGCAGTAAACTTGGTACAGTATTCAAACCATTTGAACATGTGACATCTTGGATAATAGTGAAGAGCCAAGTGTTGTGTGATTACCGAGTAAGCTTATTTACATAGTAAAATATAGATGTTGCTTTGCTGCAGGATCAGAATACGGATAATGATGCTGACTTGTCCTCTTCGAATATGATTAGTTTCGAATTGTCTAATGGCCATCCTTATGGACCCAACGTACCGAATTTGATGGATGACGATCAATATGTAGAGTATCCACTTGATGACTTGGCAGGATTCCCGTGCAGTGCAGAAGAGGAAGAAAGGGTGAGTTTGATTAACAATAACTTTCACATTGCCTAATCCAATCGCCAAAACAGGGACAACGGTTTGAACTGCTTTGCTTGTCTTTCTTTCATGTGGTAAACGAATTTCAGATGCTCATGGAAGCAGTGATGGAATCATTGAAGGATTTCAAAATGAAAACCGCCCAGGAAGAGAAGCAAGCATCAAGTGTTTGTCCCGACATGGAAGATGTTTCGCAGAAAGCTGAATGTGGAGCTTCGCAAATAGAGCATTGTGGACTTCTATATTCAGAAGCCACCTCCACTTCAAGTGACCAATTTTCTCAGTGTAAAGCAGAATCTGCTTCAACTTCAGAAGAGTACAGTATTCCGGCTAAACCAGAGTCTACTTCAGTTGCTAGAGATCTGAATTCGGTATCCGATCGCTCGTGTTCAGACGGAAGTGAATCATCTGTGGGGGCTGCATCTTATGCTCTTCCTTCCACTGCTGGAACTGGAAGTGCAGGGGCTTCCTCTTGTAGTAATACACCTGCAAATAGCCAAAGTTCAGCTGAAGCTGATTTGTCAGCCAATACGAAGGCAACCGTAACCGTTGTTCGTACTCCCGCAGGCCATATTATGGATGGTCTGATTCGCCGTTGGGATCTCAATTTCTTCAGAAACAATCAGAACCGATGAGCTGCGGTTTTCTTCTTGTGTTTTTTTTTTAACCCCCTTGCTCCCGTGGAATGTGTGCAATCTGATATTTGTATTGCTTTGTAACTATGAAAGTTGCTTTGATGTTAGTTTGTAAAAATATTAGACCCAGAAAAGGAAAAAAGGTCAAAGAAAAGGAAGACTTGTTTTAAGAGTGTCAAAAGTATTGAATGTAGCCATTTTTTTCCCCCACAAACATTTTATACCAATATTTGGTACATGATGTTCATGATTCCTTCTGAAAACACTTTATTTGGCTATGGTTTTCCCTTATTGGAGAGTGAAATTTTTAGCCCATTTGGTATTTTAGTGTAGAGCCCTATTTTCTAATTTTAACCGTAATATATATTTTTTAAGAAAATCGATATCATACTATTTTGATCATCTAAAAGTGGACTATAATGAATTAGAGATCGTTTTTAAAAATGAATTTATGCACACATTTTTCTGTTCAATTCAAACACAATTTACATCACAAATAATAATATAATAATAAATAAAGTTGTTAAAGTGTTTAAGCATAAATCTACTTGCTAAATGAACTCTTTCGAATCAAACAATGATAAATTAGTAAAATAAAAATAAGCACGCATACGTTTTTCCATACATTTGAAAAAAATATGAAGTATTTATCTCTCAAAGGTATGTCAGATTCGTGCTTACTTGAAGATGGGTTTACGGCATACAATTCGAAGTAGCGGTAAGTGGAAAGTTGGATGGTTTCTTTCATTCTGAACATTCGACCCCCCAGTTTTCCTTTGGTCAGTTTATATGACTGATCCAAATGTTAGTTTCAATCTTCTAAAATATGTTGGTCAAATACACATGGAAACTCTAATGACACGTGGCATGCAATTATTCGTCCTCGAGAAATCATAAAATAAAACCAAAAATAAAAAAATAAAAAAAATGCAATAAAACAATCGTCAAAAAAGGCGACTCAAAGCCCAAACTCTCCACCATAGCAAAAGCTCTCGCGGGGTTCCGCGGAAGAGTAATTGTTAAAGAATCTTTCTTTTTGTTTCGTTTTCGTTTTTGTTTAGGCGCTTTCAACTGTTCAACCATTTGCAAAGCGAAATTGCTTAAGCTAATCCGCCATTTTTGTTTCTTTTTTCCTTTTCCCGAGAAGAGGAAAAAAAGAAAGGAAAAAAAAAAGCATTCAAAGCTTGCAGACCCACCTAGAAGGAAACCCCAATTTGATATTACAGTGAAATCTGAGGTGCAATTTGATATTATTGACCTTTCATCCAATCATATACTCTGCTTCTCCCTCTCTTTTTTCGCCCAATTCGATTTCGAGTCAAGAACGCCACCATCACCATATCGTTCTCCTTCCCAAAATTGCTTCCTAAACCTGTGATTCTGGGCAGTTCTTTGCAATTCCCATGTCTTGATTTCTGTCTGCCTTCCCCGGAAATTCCCAATTTGTCGCCGCGTGATGATTCTTTTTTCTGTTGAAATCCTAAGCCCTAATTCTTGATCGAGTCTTGGTTTCTCTCCGACGGGTCTCGAGTTCAGTTTGTGGTCCGGAACATCGAAATTTTTGTTGTATACGATTCTTCAGTTAATGGGCACGATTAAATCTTGCAGGGATGCCTCGAAATCCTATTCAAATCTTCGGTCGCCGACGCCTCCACCAGTGACTTTCTCCACTTCTCGCTTCGAGACCGTCAACGGATCGCACGAGTTCAAGATCAATGGGTATTCCCTCAATAAGGGGATGGGGATTGGGAAATATATCGCGTCAGATACCTTTATGGTTGGTGGGTATGCGTTTGCTATATATTTCTATCCAGACGGGAAGAGCGTCGAGGACAACGCGTCGTATGTTTCGGTTTTCATAGCGTTGGCCAGCGAAGGAACTGACGTGAGAGCCCTTTTCGAATTGACGCTTTTGGATCAAAGTGGGAAGGAGAATCACAAGGTGCACAGCCATTTCGAGAGAAGGCTCGAGAGTGGCCCTTATACGCTTAAGTACCGAGGAAGCATGTGGTAAGCATTGTGTTTACATTGATTTACTTCTAGGATCTAGTAGTGATCTCGTTACTTGAATTCTAGTTTATGTTCTTCATTCTGATATAAGTATTTCATGTATTGTATCATGAAAGTCTGTCCAGCACTTGAACAATTTTGGGGCATTGTCCTCCATCCACACCACATTAGGTAGCTCCCTTTCTGTAGCCCTCCTGCCATTTCAAGGTTATGAACGTTTTACTATATAGGAAACTGCCTTAAAGGATGCACGTTCTGGTTCACGACCTTACTTGGACAGGATTGGATCTATTCTATAGGTTTTACTATGATGTCCTTGAGTTTTAAGAATGCACGTTTTGGTGGCTCCTCCCAGACTCTCCTTCCCCAATCTGTTTATTCTACAGCAGCCTCATTATATCTATATGATATCCAAATTCCAACTCCGTCGCGTTCCTTCTAGTCACCAATTTCCAGCCCTTTGTCTGCGCAACTTCCAGCCCTTTTATAAAATAAGGTCAAAATTTTCCTAAATTTCCTCTCCCGATTTGCTGTTGATAAGAAGTTTCTTTTGGATAACTTGGTGCAAATTTTTTAACAATTAGTTCGTTGGTGAGATTTGTGCTGATTGAAAGGGATTTTTTTAACCTCCATTTGCTTTTTGCATAGTTCATTACATTTATTAAATCAGTTTAAAGGATTTGCTGTTGTTTTTCTTAAGCATGGAGAAAATAGGCATGTTACAGGTTGATAGGCTTGCTAGAAAAGCTTGATGTAATGTCAATCTCCCACTTTTTGGTAGACAGAAATTCTTTTATTTTTCCAACTTGAACATCATATTCATCTCCAGAGGTTTCCAAAAGTTTGGTCTCTTTTCGGTTCTCTCAAAGGTATACCCAAAAGAAAAAAAAAAGATAGGCGTGGGACTAGCTTTACTTCCCAACCCATTGTGCTACTTCCTTCACTTGATCGCTTGGGATTTTTTTTTTTATAAGAAACATGTATATGTATTACTCACAAAAAAGAGGTACAGCACTAGGGCAGGGGGCAGAGGAAGCCCCCCCCCTCAAAAAATCTAATTCAAGAAAGAGCTCCAATTTTGGTTGGGATTTAACTCCACAAATTAGAGTCGTCGCTTCTCACACTTCATGTTTAGGTTGAGCTGCAGACTTAAGTTCCCCACATAATATCTAGGTACCTGGCACTCATGTCAAAAGGATGGAAAGGTTATTGGTATTGCGAGACTATGGTGTTCCATAGCATGGGTGGAAAAGAATAGGGTGACAGCTATTATTAATTATCAAGAATTTTTTTTGACTATTTGATTGGAATTTCTTGGATTTTTTTTCGCTATCATCATGAATGCTAAGTTTAGGGTACATTTAGTCAGAGAGTTTAAACAAACAGATCCTCTTTCCCCTTTTTACTCTTTATTTTGGTTCCCGATGTTTTATCTTGTTTATAAAAATGGAGCAATGCAATTTCGTTTGGGACCCTGAGATTGTAGTGTGTATATATATATATGTATTCTATTTTTCATTTTGTAAAGCTTGCTATTGTACTTTTGATCTACAATGATATTAGTGCGACTAATATCTTTTGTTTTATTAGTTATTTATTTATTATAGATATTTGCAGGTTGAAGTATGCTTTAATAAATTATTTGTTTTCCCCATTAGTCTCTCTGCAAAAGATGTTCCCATGTTTGCATTCTCTCATTTTCACAAAGCAAAAGGAAATAAAATACCGATCCACCAAATTATGTGTATAGTATACCAAGCATGTTTGCATCTATCACCGACAATTTGACACCTCCAGACTGGCATTTTTACCTCCTCGCTTGTAGTGAAAACTAACATGTGTATTTGGGGAAGGTATCCTTCTACTGCATTCCTCCCCACCTATCTATACATATAGAAGTAGAGAAGGTCCCTGGTCACTTGTTCATCCGCTGGTCTCTTTTTTTAAGCAAAGACTCTGGGTTGCCTTTCTGAATGAAATGGGACGTCTTACCCTTTTGTTCTTTAGGCTGTTTCAGCCCAGCAGCTTCCTTTTTGAATGAAAAATGCTGGCTTTTTTATTATTATTATTATTTTTTTTTATAAAAAAGAAGTTTGGTTGCGTTGGCATTTCATTTCTTTCTTTTCCTTCATGTGATGCCTCCCTAGCCTGTAGCTGGATGAAGTCCTACCTAGGCCTGCAGTCAAGTCCCTTGCCTTTATTTGTCTATAGACTAAGCCTCTTCAGAAGGCTTGGAAGGCACTTCATACTATTACCACCTTGTAGCCTAACAATTTTGGAGTTTTGTTGAAAAATATTAGTTCAAATCATGGCTGGCTATATGTAAAATGGATAAATTTTCAAGAGGAGAGAAAAAAAGAACTTTTTAAGGGATAGAATGTTTGATGACCGTTCCTATGGAGTATGGATGCTAATTCCAGAAGTTCTTGTTTCTTCACACGCAGATCTCCAAACACAATGCAGTTTTTGTCTGTCCTATGTTCTCACTTCTCAGGAACCTTCTCATTTGTTAACTCATGATTTGTGCCCTCCATTTTTAAACTTGTTAATGACCTAGTATTCATTCTTTGTTATACAGGGGGTATAAACGTTATTTTAAAAGAACTCTTTTAGAAACATCTGACTTCCTAAAGGACGACTGCCTTGAAATCCACTGTGTTGTTGGTGTTGTTAAGTCCCATACAGAGGGTCCAAAGATTTACTCCATAACAGCACCGCCATCTGATATAGGCCAGCATTTTGGGAATCTTTTGGAGGGCGGGAAGCTAACTGATGTGAATTTTGAAGTAGATGGGGAAACATTTGCTGCCCACAAGTTAGTTCTTGCAGCACGGTCGCCCGTTTTTAGGGCACAACTTTTTGGCCCTCTAAAGGACCATAATACCGAGTGCATAAAAGTCGAAGATATGGAAGCCCCAGTTTTTAAGGTGCTCTCTCCCTTTCATGCTAACTTTTCTTTTGGTGCCCTTTACCTACGTGATCTAATGATGATGCTTCTGTACATATATTTGAGAAGAGAATTGATTTTATCTATCCTTTCTTTTCTATTTTCTATTTTTTGGGTTAGATTTTGAAAACATTTTAAAAAAAGATAACAAAACAAAGAAACACACAGGTGAAGTATTATTTTTTTTAGACAATGAAGCAGCTAACTTGCAATATTTAGAACATTGTCACACCAATTTAATGTTGGCAGAAACATAAGCTTTACGATATGTACTAAGTACTAACTGAAACTAGTGATCTCTTTCAAACTGTGACGGTGGTGGTAGAGGGCAAGTATTAGCAGTGACAAGACCATATGTAAGATCCAATAACAAATTTGTTTTGTATTTCCCTACAAATAAGCTTGTTTGCTAACTTTTTCCCCCCTTAGTTTTTGGTTTGGTTCCTTGAAAATACTTTTGATTTTTGAAATCTTAATTAAAATTTAAAAAATGAAAAAAAGAAAAACAGAGTTTTGGATCTATATTTTAAAGTTTTGAAACGGGGTGTTAAAAACATTTTTAAAAGTAGATTATAAAAAAATGAAATTACAAGTAAATAATCATGGTTCTTAGAAACAGTTGGAAGTAGTATTATAAGCTAAATTTTTAAAAGTGAAAAATACAAAATTGGTTATCAAATGGGCCTTAATGATTCTGTATTTTAACACTTATGTCATCCATTATGATAAATTTTGTTTCCCTTATTGTCCCAACAATTACAGGCATTGCTTCATTTCATATACTGGGATGTCCTACCAGACATGCAAGAAATTGTAGGTCTGAACACCAAATGGGCTTCCACGCTGATGTCTCAGCATCTACTTGCCGCAGCTGACAGATATGCACTCGACAGGCTCAAATTGCTTTGCGAAGCTAAACTTTGTGAGGATGTCGCCATAAATACCGTGGCAACAACACTGGCATTGGCCGAGCAGCATCATTGTTTCCAACTAAAAGCTGTATGTCTGAAAGTCATTGCATTGCCGGAGAATTTGAGAGGTAATTCTGAGTATTTCTGGTTTGATCTTGTGTCTTTTTTGTTTTTTCTTTCCTTGGAGTATAACAAATGGGGGTGGGGTGGGGTTCAAACCTCTGAACTCTAAGGAAGGAGCAAGATGCTTAATATGAATGTATACACTATCTTATTAAGAAAAAACATTTTACCCTTTTTTTTTTAATGACAATATCAGTTGACTCTTTACTTTGGCTGTTCTAAAAATGAAAATAGATTGCTTTGATTTGATTTTTCTATAAGAAACCAATGACCTTGAATTCGAAACAAGCCGCACGGGAACAAGGTTTTCCTATTACAAAGTGATTGTCAGCTTTAATTATGATATTTGGGTTCGGTTAGTCTACAGTTAAAAGCCTTCCGGTTCCGGAACGAAGAGGCAGCCTTTTCTACCATTGTGTTCTAGGTTGGAAGCTTCAGATAGACAATCCCACTTGTTAGTTAGGACTTAAACATCCCACTTCTACTTATTCTCCCCCCACTTTTCAATTTCAATGCCTTCTTTAAGTTAATTAGAAGTTTTCGTACATTACATTGACAGGTAATAGGACTTCAAGGAAAATATGATGGTACTTTTTGGTCTTCTGTTTGAAAATCTGTGGTTCTGGTAGGAACACATGAAAGAGGGCACTTGCTAACAGTTCTCTATTGATGCATGTATGGTTATAGACTTATAGTAGGCTTGCGTTAGTTGTCTGGTATAAGATAACTAGTTTTGGGGGTTTTAACATAAAAAAGCCAATTCTGTTTGACTTTGCTATCGTTCTTGACTTGTATTGTAGTTCTAGTCTTGTAGTTGACCTGAAATGCCTTTGTAGTCTTTCTAATTCTAAAAGCCCTCTATTGATGCATATGTGGTTAGAGTAGGCTTGCATTAGTTGTCTGCTATAAGATATCTAGTTTTGGAACTTTCGACATAAAAAAGCCGATTCTGCTTGGCTTTGCTATCGATCATGACTTTATTGTAGTTATAGTCTTGTAGTTGGCATGGAATGCCTAGTCTTTCTAATGCTAACAGCTCTCTGTTGATGCATTTATGGTTAGAGTGAGCTTGCATTAGTTGTCTGCTATAAGATAGCTAGTTTTGGAGCTTTCGACATAAAAGAGCGGATTCGGCTTGGCTTTGCTATCATTCATGACTTGTATTGTAATCCTAGTCTTTTTGTTGGCCTGGAATGTCTTTGTAGTCTTATTAATGCTAATGCATTCTTCCTTCGTTCATTTTCTTTTAGTTACGGTAGCTTTTTTTTTTTTTTGTGTTGCAGCTGTAATGCAAACGGAGGGATTTGAGTATTTGAAAGAGAGCTGCCCATCTGTTCTCACTGAACTACTAGAATACGTAGCAAGGGTGACGGAGCATGCTGTGATTAATTGCAGCGGTTACGGAAACGGGACGGTGTTGGATGGCAGTTACGTGAATGGAAGACGGGTAAGGCAGAGGTTGTATTGATCTGATCATCAACGCCTTTTACTTACCGCCATACCAACCATTTGTGTTCTGCATGAATAAGAAGAAAAAGATTGTAGAGAGAGAGAGAGCAATGCAGAAGAAGCTCGTAGTTATGTCGGTCTGTAATGCACACTAATGATTGCTAATTCAGATTCTAAAATTGATTCCCAGTGGTTTCCTTTTGTAAAAATCTGGATGTTGTTACGAGTATCTGTAGTCCTGTAATGGATGAGAATGATATTGTGTATTTACCATATATTAAAACAGTTCAAACTCGCAGGACCCATGACTTCAAATGATGAGAGCAGATCATTTGCCTTCATTTTTTCTACGACTCTGAATGTATGGAGTTAGTTTATAAAGCATTTTGTTTAACTTTTAGAAGACAACATTTTGATCATACTCTTAATAAGTTATTGAATTTTAATCAATGTTTGTTCCTAAACTTCCAATTCTATTATATGTCTAATAAATCTGTGATTGGTTCTTGGTTCGTGTCCAGTAGAACTTTGACCTTGAATCTTGTTTTTTATTCCGAGGTTTTATTTAACTTTTTTTTTTATCTTAATTTTTTTTTCAAAAGGTGGTAAAGTCAAGCTAGAAGGAACTAATATAATCTAGAACCAAACTAAAATGAAACTAATATAATCTTTTCATAAAAAAAATTAGATTATATGGTTGAGCATGAGGTCTTAATTTAATGAAAATATTTTTTTTCTTTTTTTATAAATGTGATATTTCTAGAAAAATTACAAAAACAAAAAAATTTAATAACAAATATTTCATTCAAATAAAATACATATTATTAATATTAATATTATGTCTATATTAATGATTTTTTATTGATATATTTTATATTTTGTTATGAAAATGTAGAACCCGTGTTGATAGAATTGTGACAAAAATTTAATACCGTGGTCATAACAACGCGACCAAATCAAATAGGAAAAGATCAACGGAAATTGGGAAGGGTTATTACAATGAAATCCGTCGAGTAGAGAAAGCATTCTTCTAGAAGCTTAACAGAATTTCTGAAGGGATTACACTTGGAACAGGCAGATATGAAGACAGTTGATGTGAATAATATAAATAAAGTTACGGGATTACATTTTTCATACATAACAGAATCAACTTCTGATTAAGGTTGATTTTCAGGTTCCAAATATCATCAGACAGCAATCTAGTGGATTGGATTAGTAAACTTTTATAACTTATCTCTGCTTAACATAAAAACAGTATAAAGAAAGCATAATCAGCATTATGGTCCTAATTTGAAGTACCAGGTAAAGCTGCAACCAGTCACAATGCTTCAGCCGCAACGATTAACATTAACAGGTCGTTATCGCATAAAGAATGCAAAGATAGCAACCCAAATTTGTCAGCAACGTAGTTTGCTTTCCCTTTCAAGTGAATCATATGTCTGAATCTCCATCGTCTCGTGTAATAGTGCTGTTGGTTTCGCTCAGACTCGTGGAGATGGTCCTCGATAAGATTCGGAACAAAGCTTGCATTGAGGTTTGGTTACGCCTTCACTGAAACAACCGTAGACCCCAAACGAATACTGCCGGTAGATTTAGTACCAGTTATTTCCTGGTCCACCTTGAGCAGCAGCAACTTTTCTAGCTATGTACTGAGGTTTTGGCTGCAACCCATTTGGACCTTCAATGGCTTCATCTTCAGCCCTTTCGTTTTTACAGGATGAGTTTCTTCGTGGATATGAACAGTTATTAGTGGCGTACTGTGGTGGAACAGAAGGGTTTCGGGTCATTCTCCGCTGTTCAATAACTTCTGGTGCTACTGCTGCCGCTGTTCCACAGTTGTTATATCGCAACACAGAGCCAACGACTTTACCGGGCCTTGCAGCATTGCCTGCTGCAGATTATCAGTAGGAACTTGTAATTAATAACAATTTTGATTTGGGTATTGTGAGTATTCAAGCTAGCTTGTATAGACCGACTATCCTAAATCTTTTAGTTGTCAAGACTCTAAAAAACTTGTAAGATTTTAAAATCAAAGGTGAGGAGCCACCATCGAGTTTGAATACATAACCTCGTCCATTTACTTTTATAACTTGCTTCCTCAACCATTAGCCAATTGGTTTGAATAAATATTGAAATTTTCATCCAACTATTTACATGCTGAGAAAAAAATGAACAAAAACAATTTTGAAGAAATATTTAGCCAAACATGTTTTCATTATACTTTTGTTCTTCAAGATGGAAAAATGTTTTCAAGTAAATGCACATGAGGTCTCATCTCGGCATGCTTAGTTAAGATCATTAACTTATTATCCATGTCCTCCGCTAGCGATTCGACCAAGCTTTTGAGTAATTGTAGTGCACTCTTGAAGATACTATCGTGCTAAAAATTAATGAATAAAGACAACTTCCACATGTGGGGAGATATAGAGGCATGCAAATTATTGTGAATTGGATAGCAACATTCTCACCTTGGATAGATTGAGGAACTTGAATAGGAACTCTAGTCAAAGGAATATTGCAACTCCTATCCACTTGTGGCCTCTCGACTTCTTTGATGGAACATTTGGATAGGTCATTCGCGACTTGTGCCGGGTTCTGCACCATGTTGTCTGAATATAAAACACATGGCCTGTGTGCATAAATCATCGTGAGGTTAATATTCAGTTATTTCCGACGTTCGTAACAGAATAATAGCAAAATAATTAAGCTAGAAGTATTAGAAGTGATACCTAGGCAAGGATGCATGCTGTCTTTCAGGAGGAGCAACAGTTGCGCCATTTCCATAGTGCTCCTCAAGGTAGGCAAATTGCTTCTTAAAATGGTCAACTGCACTGTAGAAGCAAAAAAATTTTACATATTAGCATTTCTTACATGATTAAGGATCTTGAGATCACTTATTTCAACTGAAACCCAAGTTGAGATCTTTCTTGAAGCCCTCAAATGGAGGTTAGGAATCTAAATGCTCAAGAATATAGCATGAAATACTTGATTATCAAACTGCTCATTAGCTCTAACGTATGACTTAAGAATGGAACTTAGGTACAGTGATAAGGAGACGACTTGACGGAGAAGTTGTCTTTCCAAAAACGACACAATATGGTGTAGCTTGGGACTGTGATATTGGAATTTGAAGCCAGATTATTTATATTAAAACTATACCCATTGATAATTTAATGTAAAATTTGATAAGGGCATCACGTAACATGCCTCAACGATAGAATTAACCAGAGAACTATTGTTTTTAAGGTACCTTGGATACATGAAACCAGTAGGTTCTGAGCCATCTAAGTATTCCTTTAACATCTTCGGATGGTACTCGAGAATCTCCCTGTAAATAAGCTCCCTAACATCTTCTTTGGTTATCCTTCGTCTTTCAAATTCAAATTCCATCTTAGTAACAGGTTGAGCAGATGGTTCTCTCTCAACCTTAGCTAAGCCTTTAAAATATGGATCTGCAAGGGCCTAAAAGCAAATGCAGAATGTCTTTGAAAATGGTATTATGTAAATATAAGATGAAGAACAGATAGTTATTAATTCTAGGAAGCCAAATAACATGCCAAGATTTAACTTAAGTAATAGGATGTGAATCTCTTGATTCATGTCATAAATATTGGATATTTTCCTCCGAAACCAACCAATTTGCGCTATATTAATTAGTTATCTAAGTCAGCTTGGATTATGAAATTTACTCGAAAATTAATGCTTACCTCCTCCGCTGTAGGTCGATCCTTTGGCTCAAAAGCCAACATTCTTTCTAATAAGCGAAGTGCAAGTGGATCTGCATGAGGAAACTTATGGGAGAACGGAACGGGCTTCTTCTTTCTCATGCTGCTTAGGTATCGACGGGCTTTCTCATTTCGTACCTAATCATATGAGATTAGAAATTTAGTAGTGGAAAATGATATATACACAATAGTAATAGTTAAAATTGAACTTAATAAAAACATTTGACAGGAACCATACCCTGGCAATGGCTTCTGCATTTGGAGTTCCCAGAAAATCTGTCATCAAATCTAATTGGTGAACAACATTTTTTCCAGGGAAAAGCGGTTTTCCAGTTAAAAGCTCCGCAAAGATGCAACCAATGCTCCATATATCTATTGCCGGTGTATACTGAAAGTAGTATATACTACAAATTAGAATGCATTGAAAAGCTTCCAAATTAATAATAGACATATTTTCACTGTGTATCTGATGATTATAAACTAGTTGCAGACCAAAGAGGAATATGTGATTGCGTGTCATTGGTAATAATAATGAATATACTTGAACTCATTTTATATGGAATTTTCTCAGATTTACACGACTATGGTCTTGATCCCGTTCTACCATTAAGCGTCTTACAGAAGAGTTCAAAAGCTGTTCAAGAACCATTCAAATAATCTCATTATGCATTCCAGCCAGACTACAAGAAAGTCAAAACATATAAAAAAAATATTATATAAACTTATAAGATAAGTAAATACAAATAAACACATATCTATCCACACAAACAAAGAAAACTGTTTGTAACCATGATAAACTATTTGAAGGGTCCAGGTAATCAGGGGAGCTGATAGAAAACCATATTCTCCATATAAATTCAGGAGAAAGTGCCACTAAGACGTCTACTCTATACTTCTCTTTTTGAGGGAAGAAAATATAATATAAAAGATTAAGCTAGCTCTAGAAAGATGCAGAAGAAATTCTTTCACCTTTGAGAAAAATGAACCACACAGTTCAGGAGCTCTGTACCACCTCGTTGCTACATAGTCCTGCCATTGCAAGGAATGCGAAACAAGTAGATTAGGTGATGGTGAAATAAAGATTTAATTGAGAGAAATTGACCCGCTAATAAATCAAGCAGTAGGCATAGTTAATTATGAAGATACGTACAGTCCAGAAAATAGCAGTAGGAGTATCGTTAAAAGCAACTCTTGCTAGACCAAAGTCACAGATCTTGAGTTTGCAATCAGCATTTGCTAAGATATTTTTGGGTTTTAGGTCCCGGTGGAAGACATTTGCTACAATTGGTAATTATTGAAATGATGTCAGAATCAAATGATACTTCAGAAACTACTTTTTCAACTCTTTGGAACTTGTAATTATACTCCAAATAAACAGGCAATCAAGACGAATAAATTTGTTGATGTTATAAGACTATGACCTGTGTGTATATATTTCATGCCTCGAAGAAGCTGGTAAAGAAAGAACTGATAATGTTCTGGAGTCAAATCGTCATTTGCTTTGATAACTTGGTGAAGATCAGATTCCATGAGCTCAAACACGACATATATGTCCTTGAATTCCCTTCTAGATGGAGGTAGTAAGATGTGCTTTATCTCCACAATGTCCGGATGTCTCAATAGTCTTAAAAGCTTTATCTCACGAAGAATGCGAGTTGCATCAGAGACATGCTCAAAGATATCATTGATTTTCTTTATTGCAACTTTCTCCCCAGTATGAGAATCATATGCAGAGCAAACAACACCGTAACTTCCTTTACCAATTACCTCCTCTATTCTATACCTGCTCCCTTCACCATATTCTGTGAAGAAATCCACATCTATAGATGACTGCATCACAACATATAAACAACTATATCATCATTACCAACAATGAAGAGAGTGAAATCAATATCTAGAAATCATCATGGAATATACAAGTGATAGTGTTCAGAATGCCCATCCAAACACCATTCAATTCAGCACATCCGAGTTGACCACACATTTTCAGGCAGCATCACTCTCACACTGAGATAATGGAAGAACTTAAACAGTAAACCATATATGAATTTTAAAAAACCAGAGAAGACGATAATTCTTGGCTTTGGAATGGAGTAGGACCATTCCTCCTTTGGGAGTTCCCAGTAGAGAAAGCTTATAAAGTCAAGAAAAATATGCAGGCAAAACTCAACTCTGTAATAACACGGCAGATTACACCTCAAGTGATCAAAATGCACTTAAACAGCGTATTGTGTTTCAGGGATTGCGACATAGTAAAAAGGACAAGTAATCTACGTGATGTAAGATGATTACAGATATGATCTAGGGCAAATCAATTTAAAAACAAAAAGAAATTTTTCACCAACCAACTAGCTTAAAAGCTTAAAATCTAACCTATCTTGAATCCATGAAGAAATGAACATACACTTTAAGTGGACTTCTAAAAATTCTATTCACATGAAAGCGGATGATGGGGCGAGCTAAGTCATTTAGATGGCAACATATTTCTTCGCAACAGGCGAAATGCCTAACACATATTCCAGCTTAACTCGACGAAGAAAATGGATATGTCCCATAAGAAAGAGGCGTAAACTTGCCTTTCTTCTCTGATCGGCCTGCATATTAGCAACAAGGCTTTCCAAGTTCCCAGATGGATATAGCAATTAGGGCATCTAACGCCTTAGCTTCAAACTCGAACTCAATCAGAGATCCGCAGCACAGAAGCCAGCAAATGTCAATTGGAATCGAGTGTACACGACGCAAGTAATCCAAATTAACTTCACTAATCAGTAAGCTCTCGAGATCATCAAGCTATTGCTTTCGAAACATAAAGAAGAAAACCTAATCTCAAGCTAAAAACTGAGAGATAAAGCAAAAGGTGCAGTCCCAAAAAGGCAAACTCAACTGAGCGATGGCTAAAATTTTACTTTATAAGATAAAAAAGAGACAAAATACTTCATCAACGGCCGGAACTGAATTGAAATGGGAAAATGGTGAGGAACAACACAACCATCGCCAGCAACAAAACTCGGCGACGTCTCCAAAAAAAATGGCTGGAGAACAATACTGCACAGATCACAGCACGAGTCCGAATTCTTCGATGATACTGAAAGTTTTTAAAAATTTGGCGGAAACAACTAAAGATTGGAGAACCCCATATAGCGACGATCTCGAGAGAACCGGAAGGAGGACAAAAAACAAAACAAAAAACTTAGAACAACGAAAATTGGAAGATGGGCAAGAGAGAGATTGAGCTTATTTGAGCACAGATTGGTCACTGTTTTGAAAGATTAGGAGGGAACATAATCTGAAGAACAAAGGAACAAGGATTTTGAGAAGAAACGCGAGCGGATCTCGGAGGAGGAAGAAAGATCGGCAGAGAAAAAGGGAAATATCGCAGAAAGCTGAAAGCGGAGGCGAGGCAAATGAAATGGCGCAGACTCACAGAAAGAAGAGAGAGAGTGGAGTCGCTCGTGGCTGATATGGATAATAAATTAATAATAATAGATTTATTCGTTATTTATTTATTTCCCAAATAATTGACAATTACTTTATTTTTAAAGTTTTTTTTTCTTTTCTTTTTAAAAAGTAATACTTACTTTTTTTTTTCTTTTTTTAATAAAGAGCTCAACAATAACTGGCTTATGTCTCTGACCAATAATCCATGAGTTCGATTCCCCAATCCCCCTGATTATACTAAAAAAAAAATACTTACCTTAGTTTCTTACTTAGCATTAGGTAAGTATTGTTATTTTTTTAGAGGTAAAATATTAGTAATTTCAGTTTTTGTTCATTTTAATTTATCTACTTTTAAAATGTTCATTTTGATCATTGTATGTTTAACTTTGGTTATTTTAGTCCATGTAGTTTTAAAATATTTGTTTTGGTCTCAATGCTTTAAAAAGTAATATAATTTTTTCTATCACAATCTCAACACGATACACTCAATATATTTATTGAAATTTAACAATGATTTTACATTAAAGGATTTTTTGTTATGTGTATAATTTTTATTAAAATTTTACAATTTATGGATAAAATTTTTACTTTTTAAAAGTACAGAGATCAAAACGAACATTTTGAAAGTACATAGACTAAAATGAACTAAAATTGAAAGTACAAGGACTAAAATGGACCAAAATTAAAAGTACATTGACCAAAATAGTATTTTAATCTTATATTGTACTTTATTTTTTCTAATAAATCTTTAATCTTTCCATGTTTAAACTATCGAGTTCCTATACTTTTCTAAACAACGAAACTATAAGTTGAGGACACTAGATTGTCCGGCCAAGAGGAGAAATAGTGGGTCAATGATTTCAAGAGTTCTATACGTGAGGCGTTGTGAATAAGAAACCTTATAGTGTAGGTGTCTATTTAAGCATAACTCAACTAGTTAAGACAAATATCTCCCATCAAAACATCGTGAAGTTTGAATCATCAACCTTATTTATTTGTACTTAAAAAATGGAAAAAAAACATAAAATACAGACATCAACTTGAACATAACTTAACTGATTTGAAGCATCTATCTTCAACCAAAAGGTCGTGAGTTAGAATTTCTACATTCATATATTGTGCTGATAAAAATATATTCTAACTTCATATATTGTGCTGATAAAAATATATACAGTAGAGTACGAATTTCTCTCTGCCCTAGTTTGAAATTTAAAAACAGAAAGGCTAATGTATATAAATAACTTATTTTATTGGTCTAGTTAAAAAGAATCTTATTTTGTTGGTTTTTTTTAGTACAACTATTTTATTAGTTAATGTCAATCAACACCCAAAGATTTTGAAGGTTAGGAATAATTACAATTCTATATTGGTATATATATGTGGTTGAATTTGTCAACTTTTACATTTATTCTTTTTTTTAAGAACATTTTACAATTCCATTAATACAAAAATCATTCATAAATACAATTCTTATGTTAAATTGCTATCAATAAGATAGAAATTCAATGTCAAGATTTATGATTAAATTATAATAAATTTAGTGAGATCATATAATTAATTAGTGAAGCATTTGATCGTGTAAATTTAATGTTCAATTTGCTATAATCTTTTACCAAGTGTTGTTAATTATAAAATATGGGTACTTTAATCATCTAATTAATGGCTGAGAGATCTAACTAATTAGTCAATTAATCAATTATTTTTTAATTAACACAATAATTTTTTAATTACAATTAAAGAAATACTAATTCATTTTTGAAAATGACACATATATACGTATATGATTTCTTAGATTGTGGATCATGTCATTAAAACTAGAATGTAAATAGTTTTCATATTGTTTATATTGTTTTAGAATTTGAAATTAGGTTGAAATATTTGTAGCCTTGATTTTCTTTTTTATCTATTTTAATAATTTTAAAATTTGGTTCTAATGTGAAACTTAGTATAACCTACTCAGCAGTAATTAACATATATCTCAAAAAAAAATCTTAATAATACTTTACATAGTTGTACTTATAAAAATTATATCAACCTTTTTTACTTGATGTAATTTTATTTTAATAAATTATTGTTATTTAATAGTAAATAAATTGTAAAATAAAAACATATTACAATAAAATGAAATAGTAAAATAAAATGACTCTAATTATAGACAAATTTTAATAAACAACATAAATAATATTTCTATTTGAATTGATTCTCATCTTTATTCCGGGCAAACAAACGATACTTTAGATAAGTATGCTTGCCATGAATCATCACAACCCTGGAGCAACAAGCATGGGTTGCAGATATAAAATATGTTAGACACAAAGTTGAGATTTCAACAATTCGATTCAAGTCCATTTGACAACGTTTTCATTTATTGTTTCTGTTTCTTTTTTTTTTATGAAGAAAAATAGAGTTGTTTGTCTCCAACAACTACAGATTCAAGAATGATAAAAAATATATTTTTATTTATGTTTTGGAGCAAATTGGAAATGGAAACAAGAAACAAGAAACAATAAACCTGTTCTTGTTGTTTCCAACATTTCTATATAATTTTGAGAATGTTTCTAAAAAAAATGAGAAACTATAAATATAAATGGTTATCAAATGGCTTAGGTTTTTCAATAAAATTGAAAACAAGAAACAAGAAACGATAACATTACTAACATTACTAAATGGACTCGTAGAAACTTTTAAAAACATAAAAATTAGATAGACGTAGCCTTGAAAATTCGCCAACCTATTATAAATTTAAAAAAGTATAAGAACTATATAATTGAGTAGTAATTTATATAAAATATAAAGTAATTAGGGATGGCATAATCGTTGAAAACTAATAAAGACAACAAGTGGCCAAGATGAAGAGTACTCATCGTTGGAAAAGGAAAAATAATAAATGAAAAGATAATTGGGTGGATAAATTCCACGCGCTTTCGGGTTGACGTGAATAAGTACGCGCTATTTGTAATGTGTGGGCTCATGATAGTCAAAATATGACCGGGCGTGCCTGCCACGTGCCACTGATGCGCCTGGTATAGTCAAACGCTTCATCATAAATAAATATTAAATATATATTTCAATTTTTTATTTTTTTCTTATTTCCCGTGTGAGAAGAGGATATTTGAACTCCTCATAACCACTTAGTTTTTAAATTTAAATATTATTTTGACGTATGTACTTTTTAATGTAGATTTAATTCATTTTAGGTATTATACTTTTGAAATGTATGTTTTTGTCCACGTACCTTTAAAAAGTGACTAATTTGATTACTATTTTTTTTTTAGAATTTTAACACAAACTTTATACCCAATGAACAACTATTTAATATAAATTTATGGCTACAATTCAATAAATTAAGTAAGTGAAGTGTTGAACTAAAATTATGATTAAAAGAAATAAGATAAAAACGAAAATACAGTGATCAAAATAGTATTTAAACCTAATTTTTAATGTCTTTGTTTTATTTTTTTTCAATTTATTCTCTATTATTTAAGAAGTTTCGATTATGTCATTTACGCATTTTAACATTTTTTAATTATACTTTTCTTATCGAATGATGTTAAAATTAGCTAATAATTAACTTATAAAGCATGATACTGAGGGAGTTGGCAATAATTCAAAGTATGAATTAAGCTACTTTAGATTTCTTTCCCCTTCTTAAAACTCAATGGATTGAATTGAAAATTCTTAAGGAATAAAAAAATAAACCGAAACTTCATCGACTATAACAACTAATCTATATTCAACTTAAAAAAATATCGCAATTTAACTCCCGTTAATTATTTCATATATGTTTAAAATACCATTTTTAATTTTTACCTCTCATACCTCCAAATAAATAAGTGATAATTTGAAGTTGACATTAGGGACTTTCAAGATTTTATGGTTGAGTTGGAGTCATGTTAACATTCATTTATTTAGAAGTTAAAAAAATAAGTAGTTAGTTATAGTATTATGATTCAAATAAACCGGTCATAATTCAAAACCTACGGTTCAAATCATTAAAATATTTTTGTAGTGTTTTTTAAAAACAATATTTTACTCTAAATTCTTTTTCACGAGTAGTTTTAGTATAAACAAACTCCAAAAGCAATTGAGGACCTCAAATATATTTAAGTGGTTTTGAAATTTTTGACAAATAATTTAAAATATACAGTCAAACATTATTTAAAAAATATATTTATTTATTTATACAAAATATTGTAAAAAGAAAATACTTCCAACCATATTATTAATTTTATTTGATTTTTTATTTTTGATTTTTAGTTTTAAATTTTTTTTGGATTGATTGGTAGGTCCAAAAAGCCACATTCCTTGGAAGTTTGATGCTGACATGTCGGTCAAGAAAGATAGAACTGGTTCCTTCCTTGCACATTAGGTCTCATGTCGTCCAGGAAAATATAGCTGGCTATTTTCATTTATTTATTCACTTATTTTCCCCATTTAAAACAAAAATTATAAATTTAAAATTAATCAAGAATAAACTAAATTCCTCAAGTTTGCCACGTTATTTCATCTGGTCATCTCAGACCTTGAAGTTCTCTATCGTGTTATGTATTTCATAATTCTAGTAGATATTAGATGATATAATACTATGCTTGGAAACAAACAGTATTAAAAATCCAAGCAATGACGACCTGATTGAGACCATAAGAGAATCATATTAGGAGGTTTTTGTTCTGGATAGAAAGAGCGACGGTCTAGATTGGAAGTGCTAGTACGAGGGAGAAAATAAAAACTCTGTGATGATTCAAAAGAAACGACAATGATTAGGAACAAGATGCAGACACTGGAGTCCATAGATCCATATCGAGAACGAAGGTAACGAAAGAGAGAAATAATAATAACTAAACAAGTCCATAGATCCGTATTGCAGCTGATTAGAGATGATCTCACGCATACCTATTTTCGAGGAAGATTTCATTGTTTAGGGGATTTGGGAGATGTGACTTGTTGGTTCCATGATCTATACTCTGCCTCGAGCTGAGATGGGGTATTTGGTCATCTCAATGGTACTG